ACACACATGCACACACAAACAAACCACAGATCAGATGAACAAATACAGCCACACACATACGTATACACCCACAGTATGTACAGAGTGCTACTGTACACATGCACTCAAAAATGAGATTTGCAGGGAATCACATGTTGTATCCGATCATCTCATATAAAGCATAAATTCTATATTTTGTACTACTGGACTACTGGACTACTGGCTTTGTGAATTTGACAGGAATTTGATATAACTAAAATATTTCTTGAATGTACATGCTGTTTTTTCCTCATAAAGAAAAGTATAAGAATATTTTTCTGTTTTAATGGTGGCACAAAGATTAGATGGGAAATGTGACTTGCACAGACTACCACAAAAGCAGTGTAATTCTAAAAACCAGCACTTATAAAGCTGCCTCTTTGGATTTTTTTTTTCTTTCTAATGAAGTTTTTCTTCCTGACATCACTGTTCCTGAACAGAAGAGAATGAGATCGATTAGGCCTTCAAAGAGACAGGAAGTGAGGATTTTCTTTTTCAGGATTTTAAAGAAAAAAAGGAAAAACAGGTTGCTGTGAAAATATGTGTTTGAACATGTATCTCAGTAACCTTTGGAGGGCTCGGCAGTTGTTGATTTGACGTATGTGCCTCATTCACTCCACAGTTACCTCTAAATCATGTATGTCTCATCTGTCTTGCTGATATTTAAGAGCAAGTTTGTAACATTTTGAACATATATCTGAATACTATTCCATTTTGCTTTTAAATTTCTGACTGAATGTACGTCTTTACACTAATTAAGAAAGAAAAAGGTTTCATTTCTGAAAACTTTTGTCTTTTACTTTAAGCCCAAAGTCAGATCTGATTGTACTGCAGTTTGTGTTGTGTGCTGTCTGGATGTTAACTTGTTTCTTTGGTATTCATAGTCACTAAAAATGGATTTTAGTAAGATCTGCTTACCTGTTAGTCTAGTGGAAGCTGCTCTGATTTCAATATGGATGACGTGCACTAGGAGGCAGTAACATGTTTTTATACTCTCAAACTAGCAGCAGCCCCATTGAACTCGTATCTAATATTTATCTATCTATATCTGGTATTACTGAGGAGAAAATGTTTTAATCAAGACTACACAGCACACTAAAGTTTAGACCGAATTTGCTCAGAATATCTCAATGCATCTCAGCAGGCTCTGGTAATAAACATCCATTTTTGTGTGAAGGTGGCTGAGGTGAATGCTTGCTCTTTTGGTTGCCATGTGTTTGGCAATTTGTACTGCTGCAACATTTACAAAATATACTGTATGAGTCTCAGTCTTTAAAAAAACAACTCCACTATGTGTGAAGTATCACCACATAATATGTGCATTTGTGTTACAGTTGTGTATAAGCTCTGTTTCCATGTGTCCAGCTATTGCTATACGTTGTGTCACTGGTCAGTTCGTATTTAGGTTATGTTGGGTTTTTTTGGGTGTTGGGTGAACGTGCATCAACTCCTGTGCCAAAATCCACAAACAGAAACATCACGGTCTATTCTCAGTTTTTTTCCTATTGATTTTTTTCTCATAAACAGCTTCATCCCAAAATCAGCCCATTCGTTTGAAGTCTGTCGAAATAATTCCTCAAAACAAATCAGCTAGCTACTGTTATCTCAAGAAAGTAAAAAAAAAAAATAATACTTTTGTCTTTGTTAATGTATAGTGTATTATCATTTTGTAAGACTTTATTGCCTAAATGAATATGTACCATGCTGGAAACTTGCAGTATGTGGTGACTGTATTGTATTTTGAATTCAGGTTCAGTTTCAGGCACAGGTGGCCAAGTACAGACTCAGAGAGGAGCAGCAAGAGGTATACTGGAAGGAAGTCACTATCTCAGTAATGTAAGGAAGGCATTTACTTGCATTAAAAAAAATCAGAATGTAAATAATTTTCTTGGATTATTTTTGTAAAATTTCAAAGGACATCTTAAATGTTATACTAAAAATAAAACTTTTAATATCCAATCAAACAATGTGTTGGTATTATTTATTCCAGGTGCTTATTATTGAAAACAAGGGGACAGTGTAAAGGAATGAATCTTTATTAAAGTAAATGTACTTCATCCAAATAAAAAGGCACTTCAATCTGATTTCTGTCTTTAACAGAAAAGGCAGAAAACAACTTTTGTGGGATTTTTTTTTGCAGTTTTATGTCCTGATACATAACTGTGGACAGACCGACAATGCCTATTAATCATTTAAAAAAAATGGGGGACATAAAAGCATCTGGATATCACAACCTCTGCTCCTCTTTCACAGTGACAAGGCTCTGTCTAAATAACAGAAATATAACAATCATTATTTTCATGACACATAACTACAACTCATGCGCTAACCCAAAAATGAAACACGCAGTGCAGCAAATATACAGCAATCTGGGCCTTCTGTGGCTGAGAAACATACACAAGACATATTTTAACACCTACCTTTGACCAAGACTGAATCTATTGTATTATAAACTTTAATTAAGAACATGTGGTTGAACGGTGGTTTAATGCAATTTTCTATTCCTACAGATATTCAGTTTTATTTATATCAGCACTGGATGATAGAACTCTCTAACCATTATCCTTTACTTAAAGTACAGATCATCGGCTGTAATACAACAAAAAGTATGAAAATGATTTGTCTAAGTGCCACTGCACATGCAAACTATATTTGCACAGCCATGCAAGAACAGACTAAATATACATACTGTGCCATTCGGCTCAAAGTGGGTGCAGCAGGTGTCCCTGCTATATACCGAAAAATAAAGAAGCAAACCCTTAATATCAAAATACATTCATAGCTGTTTACCACAGTAACAGTAACAGAGAGCTCTAGATTACAACAAATCCTGCCCTGTACACTGTGCACCTGGATAAAAAACAAATGTACAAACCATAAAACAACACCCATCCTTGTTGCATATTCCTTTAACATATTAAGTTGTCGGTGATCAGACCTGGGTCAATTACCGACTAAATTCTCTCTAATTACCGTGCGCAATTAATCTGCCTGATAGAGTGTGCACTTGAAAAAGCAATCCTCTCAGTCACACTGTGCCAGGCAGAAACAAGAAACCATCAAATGTTACTCATTCCGTTTAAGCCAGTCTGGTGCCCTCATAAAAATGTGCCTCCATGCTTTAAAACCATTACTGCCACCTTAGAGGAGCCAATCCTGGTTTTGTGATATGCACTGTGACACAAGGCGTGATATGAAGGTAAAGCGTGCGTGCATTGCGGTGGCTCTCTCGAGTTTGTTGCTGTGTAAAGACTTCAACCTTCTGGAGGATTTTACAATTATTAGTCGTCCTTTTTGTTTCCGCTGTCTTGGAGATTCTGAAAAGACAAAACAAATGAGAAGAAAATGTCAGTTGATATATTAAACTTTAAATAATGAAAAAAAAAAATCGATTCCATTTATCTACTGGTAATCCAACATCAATGTGTTTTAGTTTTTTTTTGTCGCGTGTTAGTATTAAGAACATCTGTTTTCAGTGTCTCAACAATAAAACATAGGCTTTAGCAGTTTTTCAATAGACTTCTTAAAACATGAATTATGGAGGAGCCGTGCCTCCGACCTGCCTGATGTTCATTAGTTTAAATGTCGCTCTGAAATTGTTACATCTAGGCAGTTAATGACCCAACAAGTCATTATCCTGCTGTGTTTCAGACTTAAAGTCACCTGGAGCTCCTGATGTTCTTTCAACAGTCTGTCATACTCCCTGGCGAGGCCATCCGTCTGCTTCTTCATCACATCTGCCTCTGACTGGGATTTCTTCAGGGCTGGAGAGGAAACAATCATTCATCAGCACAGGGCATCCTGGTTGACTTAGCTACTAGAAGTGCAAGTTTTACAATTCTTTTATCAACTTTCCTGGGGTCAGAATATAAAAACAACATTAAGATGCAAAAGCAACACAAATATAACAGCGAGCGTGTGCACATGGATTCTAACCATCTCCTGAGGTCTTCAGTTCTTCTTTCAGTCTCTCCACATCTTTCCTCAACAGCTCCATGCCCTCTGCGGTCGCCTTATCACCCTTCCCTTCCATCAGAGTCTGAAATACACCAAATGACAGGATCCTCAAGTACATGACATAGTACAGGGCCTCATCAGCTGACTGCATCTCCAATGTGAAATGTTCAGTGTGAATATTCATATCTAGTGGTGGTTGATGATGGGAATCAAACCAAGTGTGTTTGGTGTCTTAGACTGAAGTGGTATAAATGGTGTCGGCCTCTACGAGGCGCACTTCAGACCACTTTGTGTAGGTAGAACAGCCCAGTGGAGTTTAAATTAAAAGCAAAAAAACGCAACACTTAAAATCTGTCACTTAAAGTTTTTTTTCTTAATTATCTAATAGCGCAGTCTGAATCGAGAGTCTGAGTCTACGGTGAAATCTTTGAGACTTGACCCAACCAATGGGGAGCTTACCTGTTTGAGCAACTCATTGTCCTCCATGTATTTCTTGGCAGTCTGGTTAGCACTGTCGGCCTGAGCCTGAAGAGCAGCAGTAGTGGAAGACACTGATGCCAGTTGGTTAATCAAGGTGACCACTCGCTTCATAACCCTACAAAAAACACAGTAAAATAACAGGGGCTGGAGAAATCTCTAATTCTAGGGATAGATCTAGGTGTGCAACTAACTTATTCATCTTTTTTGTCATTGGTGTGTTGATGTAAGAGAGCAAATACTCACAGCCAGAGAAAGACAGCGAAGCCAGAGATGTAGAGGTTCCTCTGGGCCCTGAAAAGCTTCATGTGCAGGTGATCAAACATGCTCGGTTGCAGCTTGGCATCTGTGCCAACTTCTTTACCTGAATATTTCCTCACCTCACGCACTGCATCTAAAGCAAAAAGTGTAAGCAATGAGCAATAAATATCCAGTTACACCCTCTCTCTTATGTACCATGTTCATGTAACTTTAAGTTTTAAACTTTTTTCCCTCAGTCATATGGGCTGCTCCTGTTACAGCCGCCAACAGTATAGCAAAATCCCCTAATAGCTCAATGTTGATATTTCGAAACGCAACAGTTCACAAGTGGTCAGTGAGCAGGTCACAACTCCAACTTGGAGATATTACCTACAATATTTACAAGGTTGTAAGAAAAATGATGTTTCACTTACCAAGGAAGAGGACAATAAGTATTATGATCATTGTGAGAAACACTTTGTTCCATAACTGCGCCACACTGCTCCAGATCCTCAGCTGGAAAATACTCTGCCACCTGCAACAACACACACACACACACACACACACAGAGAGGCAGTATGAAGCAGTATGTCACTCACTGCGCAACATACAATCACAATCTTCTGCAAACACACCAAAATTGACAGTATAACTCTGTAGTCGTGGTGACACAAACACATATAAGACTGTGATGGTTACTTACCTCCTGGCTGAGATGAAGGGTAAACAGAGGATGACAAGAATGCCCATCTCCACATAGAGGAAGAGGGCCACCACAGTCCATTGCAGCGTCATCTCTTGTTAAGGCCTCTGAAGATAACCTGACAGAGAGTACTGCCAGCTGACAGACTAACAGGCAGGAAATAAGACAAACAAAACAAAACAACAACTGTAAAGATAAGGCTCAGTCAGTACAGCTGGGAGTCTTAGCATGTGTGTGTGGCTTTTCCTCCACTTGGACAACAATCCAGCCTCTGTTGAGAGAAATGATAACTTAAGCCCCTTATCCACTGTGTTCAGTTCACACACCCACAAAGGCTGAAACTCAAACTCATCACTCAATCTACTCACGATACAGCGTCATCACAAGATATAGTGTTTATATCAATATCAGAGGCAAATATCCATGACATAAGCTTACCTTTTTATGTAAAATAATAATAATAATAAACAAATTTAATGCTCCGCTGACACGAGGTTCAGTTTCACTAAAAGCAAACGTTAATCTAACGTTAATGTGGGCCATTTGGAAACAGCTATAGCTAGTTAGCGGACTAGTTTATTGTTAGGTAATATGTATAATATGTAAGTATCTAAGCTTCATGTTACAATTCACGAATAAAGACACACAACCTACCAGCAAATCACCAAAAACACTGAGTGGGAAAACAGCAACTTTGGTGAACTTCTCAAATCAACCACATCGAAGTTGTCTGCTTCTCTTCCTGTTCCAGCAAGCGCGTTTAAACGACCCAGCTTCCGGTCCGGTTTTCCAAAGTAAAGCTTCACGCAGTTTAATGTCAAACTTTGTTTTTCAATGATGAGCTGTCATCAAACATTAATATGGCTGGAAAATTCTTTGTTGTTTGCTAATTGGTTCGGTGTTAACTTTTGAAATGTCATTGTCTGTTTTGACTTCTATTTTCCACTCCTTTTTACATTCAGAACACACACTTTGACTTTACTTTGAAGGCACAATTGCAATTCACCACGTCTATTCCTTTTAAGACTCTTTAAGAAAACTTAAATTCAATTATGTAATGGTTTGCTTTGACTCAGCTAAAACTGTAACACATAAATAAGTAATCATCACCAATAATGAATAAACACAAATTACATTGCTTTCCAAAAAGCTTGGTGCTCAAGAACGAATCATTGTACCAATATTACTGTCATTTTGTTTTTCTATTATTTTCTGACCAAAGAGATCTAAGACTAGTTGTAATACCCTTCATATTTGATGATGACTTTAAGAATATCGCACTATATGAAATTGTCTTATTGATAAAACTGATGTGATCTTTGTGTGCGTGCAGCTACAATAGTATAGTTACTGTTGGCTTGAGTGAAGAAAATATAGCAATAAAAAAAGACAGACGTTAGCCATACAACTATAGTTTTACACATTTATTTGGCATAAAAAAAATA